GAATGCACTTGATTCTACCGTTTCATGTTATTTTAATTTTTTTAACAAAGTTTAATAGTCAATGTGTGCAACGACCAAACTGGACATGGCCAAATTTACGATTTTGCTCAAAGTTGGCTCCTTTTATCCCTGAGCGGACCTTGATCAGCCACTATGATGGTTTAGTCCAGAGACTTGGACATTGGGCAGAAAAATAGAACACACGCACTGAAACAAGGTACAAGAATGAGGGGTCAGTGCTTCTCGCAATAACAAAGTGCAGCTAAATCAACTATGCTCTCACACTGGAGTTAGAAATGGTTACCTTTCCAACGTTTGACTGGCGACTTGCTGAGTCCTTCGAACGAATCAATCAGGTCAACCTGGCCATTGGTGGCCATCACGCAGCAAGGTTCCCCTGAAATTTGGGTAGACCACCACCATAGTCTGCCACAACATTTCCCCAACAAGTGGTCTTGAAATCCATAAAGCTCTCCATTAAAATCAATAACCTATGAGGAGACTCGGATACTGAGCCAGTAATGAATGTAAAAAAGAGAAGAAACATATGAGAACGAGTTACGGTATGCAGCACCTATCCACGACCGTAACAAGATGATAAACGGTCAGAAAGTGCGATATTAGGGCACACGACTGACAGGCTACTGAGACATTCAGCGAGTAGTCTGTCAGTTCTGTGCCCTATCAGTATGGCACTTTCTGACCGTTTATCATCTTGTTACAGTCGTGGATAGTTGCTGCATAACTCATTCTGATGTGTTTGTTCTCTTTTCCACGAGAAGACAATAGTCGTAACATAGCAACGAATAAAACTAATTTTTGCACTCATAACCATGGACATGTATACACAATAATAATTAGTATTAAAATGGACTCGGATGGAGAGCCAAAGATTAACGTATAGAAGGAGAAAAAAAGGACCAAGGAACTACAAGTTACGCGTTTTGAGTAGTTAAAAAAAACGAGAACAAAAAACAAGATTTGGCTTGTGAGCAACACTGGCTCACACTCAATCACTGCTTTTCACAAATTCATTTCAGTAAAAATTTCAATTCAACATTTCGGTTGTAAAATAACCTATAATGTCAGGAATGAAGTGGTCACACCGGTTAGGATGGGTTAATGGATGAGGAGCGCTGCAAAGAGATTATAATTCACATCGCAGTGTTTGTGACTTGCTCGTTCCAGTCAGAGTGTCGGGATCACTGTTTTCTGTTTTCGAACATTGGTGCCACCCTTCCTGCTCAATGTCTACTTGTTATTGAAGCCGTGGTGGTCTCGGAGCTCTCTTCCGCACCAAACAAATTCATCACCCTCCGCACTATTTCGCCCCAGAGCCCGTACATGTATCTTTCCTCGTGGAGTTCGTGCCGGTGGCCCACATCATTCGTGTGGACCGTACATGTATCTTTCCTCGTGGAGTTCGTGCCGGTGGCCCACATCATTCGTGTGGACATTAATCAAGACTGCAAGCTTGGATGCAAGAACCCTGGTACCTCTCCTGAATTCGAAATGCTGAATTTCGACGATAGCAAGAACAAAGTGTTCTCAAATACATGTGGCGTATGTTGCTGCAAAGGTAGCAGGTCTGAAAACACCAACAAAATCAGGGAACCGCTTGTCAAGGAAAGAAGGTGCGGAACTGCTTACCCTATCACGCTGGAAGGTCGTTACAGTGTACTTGAAAAAATGCTAGTTTGCCATCATCGCCTGCCACCTGGAGGCATGGATCGCTTGAAAACGAAATTTCATGACCTGAATTTGATCGCGCGTCTTGTTCAGCGTCTTTTCGAGTGCTGAAGGGTCTGCCTCAAACTCTGATGAAGATGTCAAACTTAGCTGCAAGTGCAGCGAAGAGGGAGGCCACAAACTAAAGCTTGGTCCGTCGACAATGCTGTGCTTCAATTTCGAGCTGATTTCTTTGCCCTTCGCCTCGGAGTGGACAGAATAAATTTGAAAATTTCTCAGGGAAACGACAATTTCAATGACGCGGAGGAAGTAGCAAGATAATAATACAGTCATAAAGTGGCACATACCTGACAAGGGCACTGAGACATTCGACGACTTAACGCCTGCAACTTAACACCTGCAACTTAACACCTGCAACTTAACACCTGCAACTTAACACCTGCAACTTAACACCTGCAACTTAACACCTGCAACTTAACACCTGCAACTTAACACCTGCAACTTAACACCTGCAACTTAACACCTGCAACTTAACACCTACAACTTAACACCTACAACTAAACACCTGCAACTTAACACCTGCAACTTAACGCCCGCAACTTGGAAAGCTAAGGACCAGGCGCGGAAAGTGCCAATGAGGGGAAGGGAAGTGCCACGAAGATGTGCATGAGCGTTGTCCCTCACAGAGAATGTCGAATGTTACAGGATAATAATAATATCCCCGTCATGTGTCACACTTCTTTGGATTTTAACCTTTGTTTTTTCCCTTGATCTCTTTAGTTCCGTATTTCCACTGATGATCGGAACGTGAAAATCGATTTTGGAAACACACAAAACCAAACCTTGAACAAATTTTCATGTTGCGTGGTGATGTCTGCGGCATTCATACTCTTCATTGCTATTATTAAACTTTTATCTCCACGTAGATTATTTGAATAATATTATTATGAGTCTATTAAAACAGTTGGATAAAATGGTCTAACTACAACACGGCAATCAGACGGAAATGGGAAATGGGATCATGAGGAACGATTCCAGGAGGAGGCAATTTTCGGCTAGATCAACATAAAGGAACACTTGTAGTATCCCTGCCCGACCAATACGGAAGCAGTACGGAACTAATACGGAGCTTGCCTGATGTATATTTAGTGTATCTCCGTATGTAAGCGTACGTCGTCTGCTGCATAAAAGCGGCTGCGCATTTCTGTTTTGATGAAGAGAAGATTAGATTAGATTGGATAGCAATGAAAGCTAACTCGAAGAATAAGGATTCAGCCTCTAGGTGAGCACCGGAGAGAAAGTTATTTATTTTGCCGCTTCTTCTTTCACTAACGATTATATCTCAGGTGTGTACCTGAAAGTAGAATAAAAGTAATTCTTGTTGATTTCACCGCGCCTACCACTCGGCTACCTATTACATTGGTGGCAGCGGTGTAGTTTTAAATTAAACAACGTGATTCGACCCCAGACTCCTATGCCTCAACCCGCTACAGCTCCGTGCGACGAATCAAGATGAGAATCATGTTTCTTGCCTTCCTGGGCTTGGCCCTGATTGTTAATATTACTATTAGCCTGCAGCACAGTCAGGGTGCTAGCGTAGATCACCCTTCTCTCCGCACGGCACTCACTGGAGACTCCGATGGCGATTCCAAGCGACCTGCTACGTACATGTTTTCTACCGGTGGTGATGGCGAAGCTGATGAGGACGACAACAGGCATGCTGGTACCCAAGACAAGGAGGGTATTCACCAAGACCAGCAGCGTTTGATTTTCGCCGGCACGCAGTCGGAAGCAGGAGCCCACTCTTCACTTGGTACTTCGCCTCCGTAGTGGGATGCAGATTTTGTCATCACTCTTTACGTCGCGCCAAGCGATTCTATCGACAATGTGAAGACCACGATTCAAGACGAGGACGGAGTGATCTGTCTGACGCCGAGCTAGCCGCTCTGAGTGACCGGCTCAACCAAGATGAAGATAAAACCTGGCTTGCTCTCCGCCGTAGCTCCAGCCGCCGCCGTGGTTACTAACGCTGATTCCAGGTATGGCATTTTCTTTCCTGTCTTCCTTCAGTCTCCCTGTTCTCTTCAGTCTTCCTTTATGCGAGTGTGTGAATCCAGTTTAGTTTGGTAGGCGTCTGATCATGGTGAGCCACGGCTTACCCAGCTAATGTGGGATAATGTGTGTGACAACGCCCCTTATAGTTATAGTGTATTCAGTTCGGTTTTTGAACTCCGATGTTCCTGGCGGGTTGTGCCAGCGTTGTGCAGCAAGAGTGCTGTGGATTTTCAGGTCCTATTTGGAGGACAGTTCTTTCCCCTTTTGACCCCGTGAGATCGTGTGAACCTGGTGTGCTTCTACTTTATGATTTGTTATCAGTTCATTTCTTCTGTCTACTCTAAACGTTATCATTTCCGATATAATTTGCCATCTTCCGGTTGACGCTGTGTTCGTAACTCTTCACTAATTTTTTTAAAACCACGAGGGCGTGATAATCTGTAGGAAGGGAGGGTGTAGTATCCCTGCCCGACCAATACGGAAGCAGTACGGAACTAATACGGAGCTTGCCTGATGTATATTTAGTGTATCTCCGTATGTAAGCGTACGTCGTCTGCTGCATAAAAGCGGCTGCGCATTTCTGTTTTGATGAAGAGAAGATTAGATTAGATTGGATAGCAATGAAAGCTAACTCGAAGAATAAGGATTCAGCCTCTAGGTGAGCACCGGAGAGAAAGTTATTTATTTTGCCGCTTCTTCTTTCACTAACGATTATATCTCAGGTGTGTACCTGAAAGTAGAATAAAAGTAATTCTTGTTGATTTCACCGCGCCTACCACTCGGCTACCCATTACACACTTTCAGCAATCTTTTAAACGAATCTGGGTGATGAGTGGATGTAAGGTCCTGTGGCAGTGTGTTCCAAAGCTTTGCGGCGGAAGCCAGTGATTGGCAATCGCCAGATGTTTGCCGAGTTAGTGGCACAACGTATTTGCAATCGCCATAGCCACAGATGTTACAAGTAGGTTGGAGGATTACTCAATCTTTTAGAAGAAGGCTGATGCTGCTGATGAGGACACGGTGCATAAGGCAACAGAGTTTGCATTTGACACCTTCAATTAAAAAGGTAGGGGTGGGGGGGAGGTGAGTGTATTATTACAGGACTGGCATGGGACGGGAAGGCTACACAGCGAACAGATCGCTTGTCGAGGGTTGTGACCTGGTGCCGCTGCTGAACCGCGACTGCACAGTACTACTGAAGTATGTAACTTTTCCTAACTTTGTATTCTTTATTATTTTGCTCTCAAATTCTGCAGAAAGTACCGCCCGAGCATGCTCTTGATGAGGTAAGTCTCAATTGTTCTCTATGGCGTGCACAAACATACAATAGACACATTGGGTTGGGGGTTGCCATGATTTCTTTTGGACAATTCAAATCTTCAAGAATATGCTCTTTGATAATAATTGATTGAGTAAAGATGCATGCCTGAAACTAGCATCCGCCCGCCAAGGGCGCACAAATGGCCACCGCGGCCCGCAGCTGCCCGCCGGGGGCTAAACTAGCATACTGCCCACCGAGGGCGCCCGAATGGCTAAACTAGCCTACTGCCCACCGAGGGCGCTCAAATGGCCGCCGCGGCCAGCAAACCGCCCGTTGAGAGCTAAACCAGCAGACAACCCATCGAGGGTGCGCAAATTGCCACCGAGGCCAGCAAACTGCCCACCGTCGGCCGATATCATCTTGCCCGCTGAGGGCACACAAACGGCCACTGAGGCCAGCCAATCGTGCACCGAGGGCTCACAGGACTGCCTGGCATCAGGCGTCACAATATACAGACATAATAGGAGGCCCTTTTGCCCCACAAAGGTAGTAGACCTAGAAACCAAGGCATCCCGTTCCCCGCAACCCACAACGAGCTAGCCTTGTGACCACAGCTGCAAGTCAGCGAATTGCTCACAGTAATACCGTGCCCGTGCAGGCATACACACACTAGTTATCATGGCGAGCGCCGCTCACTAACTTACAAGCTAGGCATCCCGGCTGCCTGCCGCACGTAACGTTCGCATGCAGAGCTTCTCCAGCGGCCCGCTCGCTTTACTTGCCATTCATGTGCCCCACGCTGAGCCATGAGTGAAGCGCCACCAATACGCATGGAGTGAGAGCAGACCTCGTTCATCCTCAGGGCTAGCCGCAGAATCTTGGTCAGTGTGTGTGTGTGTGTGTATGTGTGTGTGTGTGTGTGTGTGTGTGTGTGTGTGTGTGGTGTGTGTGTGTGTGTGTGTGTGTGTGCGCGTGCGTGCGTGCGTGCATGGTTGGTATGTGGTGTTTATGTGAGCGTATGATAACAAGCTCTTTAATAATAATTATTCCCGTAGCTATGCAGAAGACGTTACTTCAGTAACGTCTGGCGCTAGCCAGGGTCCACACAGCTTTAATTTGGTGTTTGTTTGTTTGTTTGTTTGTGTTACGGCTGGAGCTATCCCGTATCTGTCCCGTATCTGTCCCGTATCTGTGACTACAAAGGCTCTACAGGATTGTACATAACAGCTGTCCACAATATTTGCGGGCTCCTGTATCTGTCCCGTACCGTACCAATATTCGTCGTATTATGTATACGACTCCCTGATGTAGAGGGAGATTTGGATAGAAATAGGGAGACGAAGAGGAAATTAAATTAGAATAGACGCCGATTAGGTGATAGGATGCGTCAGCATAAACATACTTTGGAAGAGAGATCCCGTCGTCTCCAAAATAAGCGTGAACGAGCGATTCAGTGCCGGTCACAGGAAACGTCGGAAGAGAGATCCCGTCGACTCCAGAACGCCCGTGATCGGTAGAGTCCGGCGGTACCAGGCAACGTCAGGACAGACATCCCTTTGAGTCCAGAACGCCCGTGATCGGCAGATTCTAAGCCGATCCCAGGAAACGTCAGGACAGACATCTCGTCGAGTCCAGAACGTCTGTGATCAGCAGAGTCAGCGCCGGTCCCAGTAAACGTCAGGACAGACATCCCGTCGACGCGCAGAAAAACTAAATCTGCAGCCTCTTTTGCCGTCGAACAGGATACGTTTTATATAGGAGACTGTAAATTTATGTAATGTCCAAATTTCGACGTCAGCAGCAGGTCACTCGCGTTGATTTTTCGACGTGCGAGCCAAATAACGCGAGCTGAACTTTCGCGTCGCAGACATCCCGTCGACGCGCAGAAAAACTAAATCTGCAGCCTCTTTTGCCGTCGGACAGGATACGTATTTTAGGAGACTGTAAAGTTATGTGATGTGCTCCACAGGCAACCATGCATTCGGCGTCGTCATTGGCTCAACAGGTCAATGCACATGTATTACTACAAAAAGGCCAGAAAGTCCGATCACTGTACGAGAGAGCTTGGAAGCTCAGGGCCCTACGCTATGCTTTTTTGCCTTGATGACCTAGACAAAAAAAAAGCATAGGGATGTTATAAATTCTTTAAAAAATTCCTTTTTTTTAGACATAACCTGGGATTCGAACCCGCACTATCGCGCGCCCTGCATTCATCCCCCGATGCACTTCGCATACATACTAATTCTTCCAAGTTGTTTCACATTGTGATCTTGCATTTGAAAGCCCTATTTGAGTTATATGCATTGTGGCCAGCCGTCTTTGATGGCACGGTACGGTAGGGGATAGGGACGGGACAGGTACGATCGAGGGTAATACGACACCGTCTCCCGTACCGTACCGTACCATCAAACACAGCTGGCCACATACAGCTTCCCGCAATATTCAAATAGGGCTTTCAAACGCAAGATAATAACGTAACGCAACTTGGAAGAATGGGTATGAATGCGAAGTGTATGGGGGAATGCATGTAGGGCGATAGTGCGGGTTCGAATCCCAGGATATGCCTGAAAAAAAGGAGAATTGAAAAATTTATAACATCCTATGCTTTTTTGCCGTCAGATACGGATAGCGCCAGGCGTGACACAAACAAACACACAAACAAACACCAAATTAAAGCTGTGTGGACCCTGGCTAGCGCCAGACGTTACTGAAGTAACGTCTTCTGCATAGCTACGGGAATTAAAATCAACTAATGTTCGCTGGCGATTTAATTTCGCTGATTTCGCCGCTTGGTACAAACCGGCCAAAGTAAATCGCAGGCCAACGTTTGTCATATAGGCAAATGATGCATGATTGAGCAATGGATGCATGTGAGAGCAAAAATACCGATCGATTTCAAATTTGACGTGAAACTGCGCGTCACGTCGGAAATAACGTGCATCTTAACCTCTCTAATAGAGAGGTTTCTATTTCTCATCGGCCAAAATTTGTTGATTTACAATATAAGGAGATAAAAAGAAAAGAAGGAGCAAAACAAAAGTAGATGATTATTAGAGAAATAACAATCCGCAATAAATTCTGCAAATACTTTTGCCTAACTCATAAGCAAACCGATTGAAACGTTTTTGCAATACAGTGATGTGGCCAATCAACGAAAAAGACATTCCCATCAGTTCTTATAACATGTACGATGAGCTAGGCAAAAAAGAATAAAAGCATAGCGCTGTAACAGTTTTCCCCTGTTCTCTATAACTTTACACTCCCTCGCACCTCGTGCGTCTTACGCCTGTCTATTAGCACCTTCATTGGCGCCATTGCCACATGTATACTATCACATTTTGCATATAACTGGTCGAGGCACGCTCAACCAGGCCTCTTACTTTTCAAGTTTGATTAAACCTGTTACACTGGTAGCAGAGGATGGTTCCTACTCTGCTTTTGGCAGGTGTTCTGGTCGCTCTGCTTACGCTCCTCGTACTCGTCGTTCGGCTGATAAACGATATCAAGACCGCTCAGCGCGTTAGCCAAGGAAACCGAACGATACATCCGAACTCAGAACCGTGGGAGCCAACACCCCGCCTTACGAAAGAGCCGCCTGTGTTTGGAGGAGATTCCGCTACATTCAAAGAATGGACGTTTGCAATGGACATGGCCCTACGGTCGTTGGCACTCCCAAATGCGGCACAGAGGGTCGACTACGCGGCAGGATTTTTGACTGGAAACGCTCGTCTTTGGTTGATATCGGCATTGGAAGCTAACCAAGTGTTTTCCGACTGGCCTGCTCTGAAAGCGGCACTTGGCGATGTGTACGGACCACGGCACAACGAGGAAACATCGCGTATGGGACTAATTTCCGCAGCACAGCGCGGGTCGCTGGACGCATACATTGCTGCTTTCACTCGCCTCAGCCTGCAAGTGCCGGAAATCGACCACCACACCAGAGCGCTGCTGTTCGTCAGGGGTCTAGTGCCGCACATCCAGCGACAGGTCATGCGTGAGCATCCACGTACCCTAGAGCAAGCTGTCATGGCAGCAAACACCGTGGAGCAGTCGTCAGGGCCACCGGCGTCGGGGCCACCAGCCAGTAGAGAGTCGCGTTCCGTGCCCAGCTTCCGTGGTCAGGGCCTCCGCAAGCTGACGGACCAAGAGCGTGTCCAACTGCGAGCAATGGGACACTGCTTTGCTTGCAGGAAGCCAGGCCACCTCGCTAAAGACTGTACTGAGGGTGGACAGCGCTACCCAAACGCTGGTCGCCAGTAAGAAAGGGGGTGCGCTTACTGGCGACGACCCAAGCGCCCACGCCGGTACCAGTCGCTAACCGGTTCGGAGCTCTGGAGGTTGAAGACGTTGCTCTCCAGGAACCTACGGAGCCGGAGACACCCATAGCTGTAGGAAATTGTCCCGTTGCAGAAAGGTGTCATGTCAGCAACGTCAGCGTCGGCAATGAACCTGAACACGACCTACTGCGCATACAGGGAAAGATCGGCGGTCGCCGTGCAGTGATGCTGATAGATTCCGGTTCAACGCATGACTTCATTGCAGACAGTTTTGTTCGAAAGCATCATCTTGACACGGATGCAAGCTCAGCAGTGCTGAGCGTAACATTGGCGGACGGCTCGACCAGCGAGGTCCCGCAGATTTCCACACGCACGCTAAGGGTGACAGTCGGGGGCTTCAGTGAGGAACAGCACTTTACTGTGTATCCCCTGACTCGCTACGACGCTATTCTTGGCAAGCCGTGGCTTACAAGGAACAACCCCAGCATCAACTTCCGTACGAACGAAGTTCAGTTGGACGGTGAGCCCTTTGTTGCCAAATTGCCTTCAGCTAACCCGCCGACAGCCGACCGGCCATCTGTGGAAAGCATGTTTATCAGTGGCCGACAAGCTCGTCATGCCCTGAGGAGTGGAGCCGAGGGGTTTCTTGCATGGGTCACTGCTGCAAACGAGGAGAATCGTTCCGGGCCACAACTCCAGGAATCAGAGCAACAAGACATCCAGAACCTGCTCAAGAGGTACCAGGATT